GAGGCCTGAGAAGCAAGTTACAAGAGAAAAATACACACAATAAAAACTACAGCTGAACAACTTCATCACTGACAAAAATCAGATTGAACATCACGTGTCAGTCTCTCTCAATCTCTGTGCACGAGCGCCACCTCGAGGTTCACCAAGTCACTCGACTCAGGACGTGTCATTTCTTTCAGTTCAAGCAGTCAATAAAAAAATATAGATAAAGGCCTGAATGTATAAAAATATATCTTTAAGCAACACAGGTTCAACATCCATCATGTGAGAATAAAAAGCCTGTTACCAAAAATTGTTTGATTGACTGAATGTTTTCAGTAAAAAGCTCAAATTTAAACCTGTATTATGTGTCAGATGTTGAGAATGACGAAGAATCAGTCAATTATGACATAAAAAGTCGAAATTGTGACATAGGCCTACTAAGTCATTAGTATGGGATTAAAATTACGAACTATATGTTCCTCATAAACATGACTTAGGCCTATAGGCCTATGTCATTTCGACTTTTTATGTCACAATCATTTACAAAAATCTTGTTTCTGGTCTTCACATATTTCCAGACTAAAAATCTCTCACATATTCTGAGGTTATTATGAGAAATGAATACATTCGTTGTATTTTAATTTCTGAGAACGGTAATTTTTCACAAAGGCAACATCACGTGCACGACTTTGGCGCGCAAACTCAAGATCATAGCGATAATTTTCTAACACACCACACCCATGTAAATAAAGTATAGTCCTACCTATTTGTAGTTAATTTCATCGGTTGCCTGTGGCGTTAAACTCTTACTCAGCATCTAGCCAAAATAACATGCGTGTCCATCGGTTAACCGTCCTCAGAAGACGAAAACAACCAATTTGCCGCGACATCACGAGAACATGACACGTTATTGGCCGTTAAGTGGCGTAGCATGTGCCTTTACATGGGTACTCTTTTGTTGTTGTTTTTTATATTAATTGATGTGACTTAATACTTTTATGTGTGAAATTTTAAATTAAGTGGAGGGAAAGTTTGCACGTGCCACTGAGTAAATGGCCAAGGGCGTCACGTGACCTGGACGTTAAAGGTGCGTCTCAATCAGCTGCCGATCAGATTATTTATATATTATATTTATGCAAAAATATACTTGAACAACAACAACAAAAGGCTGTGTCTTGCTGCTGCAGTGTATTGAGTTTTTATGTCTCACTCACACTTCAAAAATTCTATTGAGGGAACAAACTCCCTGATTTTCATGGTGCATTGTGGGAATGTATAGGAGGGAAACGTTTCAGTGCACACTGTAAGGATTTTGTGATTGAGACAGCCCTTAAATTTTACGATCTCTTGAGTTTAACATTGTTTGTTTGACAGGGATAGTTTCGTCTCTGACCCTCAGGAGTCGCCATATATTCAGGGCTGAAGAGACCAAATGTGATGTTAAAAACCTGTTCTGATGGTCCACTGATTAGATGCTGGAGACCTTTTATGGCTCTAAAAAACCCTGAAGCATTTTAAAGCAATTAGACACAGTCACAATAAAACAGGACAGAGAATCTGCACAATGTTTTTAATCCAGTTCAAACAGAAGAAGAGCTGCAGCAAACATGGAGAATCAAGAGCTGGAACAGAAGAATCAATGTCCTGAGAATAGAGAGAAAGCACATCAATATGGCCTTCAAACCTCTTCCAGACCAGACTCGTGCGTACATGTGTTTTAATGCACAGGTCATTCCCTGGTCACCCACTACATCATCATGATCCAGACCTGTTAAAACAGACTCGATCTGGGGCGTGTTTCCCGAACACCGAAATAACTCGCGGCTTCACTATCATAGTACATCATCGTTGAAGAAATCAAGTATAGTCACGACTTTCCTGAAACCGTATTGTCGCAAATTGGTCGTTGGTAATGATGTCACGCAGGTTATGGAGTAATAACTACTTTTAATGAATCGGTTTGAGATCGAATTACCGCTAGATGTTTTGCTATAAATCACAGACATGCATCTGAGGAATATTTCTAATTTTTCTCAGTTATTTTGATTTATTTCCAGATTCACTCATAGACTCGTTCTTGCGCACTAGAGCTCGTTCACACATGCGCACTCTTCAGAAACTACACTTTAAATCTCTTGACAAACTCAAAGACGTAAATGACATTTGTGTGTATTCTAAATAAAACAGATTTTGTACTGAATGTCCGCTTGCTTATTTTGCTCAAGATCAGGATTTATTGAGTCACATGTCATGAAATCTAGAAACTCTTCTATCCGCAGCTCGAGATCTGTCGCTCAAACACACACCTCTGCGATGCTGTTTGCGAATGTTCGTTATAACGATGTTTTCAGGAAACACACTCGTTAAACTGATGATAACTTGCGACCATAGTTGGCTAACGATGCTTTCGGGAAACACACCCCAGAAGATGTTCACAAACGTGCATGACACTGAAACACTCGCTTGTGAAAACAGCATCAATAATGCCGGTGACCTTTGACCTGGTCTTTGGTATCTAGCTGTGCAGGAACTGAAGGCAGTTTGCTTGGTTACGGCGAGCAGGTTTGACCACCTGATTGTACAAATGCAACAGTTCACGTTTGTTTGGTTTTGCCACGAGAAAAAAAAGACACAAAAAGAAAGAATGGAGGGATTCACGTCCAGCATTCCAGATCCCGCAGTCTTCGGGAAGCGCGTTTGCCTCCCGTCATCATGGCAGCATGAGGTCTGTAGTGTAAATCTCCACACTTCACAACAACGCTTCATGAGTGATTATATTCATAGCATCTTAAAAATAATGAGTTCACTTAAAAACATCACAGTACTTCCTGAGAGAGACGCCTTCCTGTAGCGGAAAGCCAACATGTGAGATCGGACAATAACGAGGATGATCATGCAGAGATTCTGCTCTGGTTTGTGGAATGATTTGATGGTTACGCTGAGAACTTCATCACACCATTCATGGGTGAATCTCATGAAACCTCTGAGAAAAACATGATATTTTGATCCAAAATCAGCAGAAAGAAATGAGAAATTATAGTTTGCATAAGGAAAATGTTGGATGTTTTAAATTGTGAGGCTATTATCATGACAATGAAATGAAATGCTTCTAAAAACAGACTTAAATGTCCTTATAAAAAAATTATTATATTATAATAGTGCTGTCAAATCAATTAATTAATCACATCTAACATAAAAGTTTGTAATTATATAATATATATGTTTGTGTGTGTGTATATATATATACACACACACACACATACATGCACACAAATATATATATTATATAATTACAAACTTTTATATATATATATAAATATATAATATTACATACTCTATTTGTGTATGTATATATAAAATTGCTGTCACATCGATTAATCGTGATTAATCACATCTAACATAAAAGTTTGTAATTATATAATACATATGTTTGTGTGTGTGTATATATATATATACACACACACATACATGCACACAAATATATATATTATATAATTACAAACTTTTATATATATATATAAATATATAATATTACATACTCTATTTGTGTATGTATATATAAAATTGCTGTCACATCGATTAATCGTGATTAATCACATCTAACATAAAAGTTTGTAATTATATAATACATATGTTTGTGTGTGTGTATATATATATATACACACACACATACATGCACACAAATATATATATTATATAATTACAAACTTTTATATATATATATAAATATATAATATTACATACCCTATTTGTGTATGTATATATAAAATTGCTGTCACATCGATTAATCGTGATTAATCACATCTAACAAAAAGTTTGTAATTATATTTTGCGTGTATGTGTATATACACAAACACACAAATATATAATATATAATAATATATAGTATATTTATATATATAATTGCAGTCAAATCAATTAATTGTGATTAATTGCATCTTCCATAAAAGTTTGTAAATAAATAATGTGTATATATATATATATATATATATATGCATACATACACACACACACACATATATATATAATTGCTTTCAAATCAATCACATCTAACACGTTTGTGTATATACATAAACTTTTATGTTAGATGTGATTAATAGCAATTGTTGGATTTGACAGCACTAATACATATCTAGCATTAATATATATATATATACACACATACACACATAAATATATATATTTTATTGCTGGCAAATCGATTAATCACGATTAATCGCATCTAACATAAAAGTTTGTGTATATAGACAGATGTGATTAATCATGATGAATTGATTTGACAGTACTAATATATATATATATATATATATATTTTTTTTTTTCTTCATGAGATTCACCCATATATATTTAAAACTTGCCCTGAGATCCAGATGAAATAAACGTACGAGCAGATCCCACAGCGTGCCGGTCGCTCGTTCACACATCGACTGAGACATTCAGCTGGTTTCTGAGGTATTCGACTGTTGTTCTGAGAGACAGACGGGCTCTGAAATCATCAAACGTTTGAGAGAACCGTATAGAAGATCCCGGGAATTCCTCTTCCCTAGCGATCCCGTCCTCGGGTCCAGACGGATGCATAGAAGAGAGTCAGTGAGGTCCCGTCATTAAACCACGTCAGCATTTCTGATTCTGACGAATTCAAATCGAAAAAAAAAATCAAAATAAAAATAAAAACTCATTCAGAAAAGGTCTGAACTACAGATCCTGAGGTAAAAGACATTCCCGTAACGTTCCACCGCTAAATGCTTGAGGTATGAATGTAAAATGAGGAAAACTTGAGAGAAAAAGTTCATTCAGGAAAAAAAAGTCACGAAAACAATCAGAAGACAGATCGAAACACACTCTAAATAAAAATCTTCAAGTTCTGTAAAACCTGCCTGTCGTTTGGCTGAACGTTCTGATTGTATTTAGCGTTTTCTTAAACGCCGGGCGTCGTTCATGAAACACAATCACAAATTCCTGCATGAATCGTTCATAAATCCATTCTTACATTAAATTGATTATGAGGTTTTAGAAACATGTATATCTCTTTTAATTTTCCATGCTTTTATTTTGTGATTATTTTAATTCCTTTCTATGTAAAGCACTTTGAATTGCCATAGTGTATGAAATGTGCTATTTAAATAAACTTACAGTAAGAGTGTTTTTGAACGGTTAACTTGTGATTCCTGAATGAGGCCCAGCGATGTTATTTTATGCATATGTGTCCATGTACGTGTAAATGTGTTTCTAAACACGCGGACAGCCGATGTCGACAGCAGAGAATGAGGTACTGATTGTGCAACAGTTTGCGGTCGGCTCGGGTTACGGGGAGCCGCTGGTGGACGGTTCCGCGGAGCTCCGCCCCTTGGGGGAGGAGGAAGAGGCGGGGCTTTGGCTGGGGGCGGAGCTAGAGAAGGGTCGAGCTGGAGGAGCGTGAGACACACACACACTCACACCCGCAGATGCAGACGCCGACTTCTGCGCGAACAGAGTTCCTGTCATAGAAATACACATTTCTAAAAATTAGATGCACTGAAATGAATGCATTCTGGAGTGAACGAGTAAATGATGCCGTTCACTCACTCACACACACAATCACTCACTCACACACACTAACCCGATCCCTAAACCTACCCAACACACACACTAACCCGACTCCTAAACCTACCCAACACACACACACACACACACACTAACCCGACCCCTAAACCTACCCATCACACACACTAACCCGACCCCTAAACCTACCCAACACACACACTAACCCGACTCCTAAACCTACCCAACACACACACTAACCCGATCCCTAAACCTACCCAACACACACACTAACCCGACTCCTAAACCTACCCAACACACACACTAACCCGACCCCTAAACCTACCCATCACACACACTAACCCGACTCCTAAACCTACCCAACACACACACTAACCCGACTCCTAAACCTACCCAACACACACACTAACCCGATCCCTAAACCTACCCAACACACACACTAACCCGATCCCTAAACCTACCCAACACACACACTAACCCGACTCCTAAACCTACCCAACACACACACTAACCCGATCCCTAAACCTACCCAACACACACACTAACCTGACCCCTAAACCTACCCAACACACACACACACACACACACACACACACACACACACACACACACACACACACACACTAACCCGATCCCTAAACCTTCCCAACACACACACTAACCCGATCCCTAAACCTACCCAACACACACACTAACCCGACCCCTAAACCTACCCAACACACACACACACACACACTAACCCGACCCCTAAACCCACCCATCACACACACACACACACACACACACACACACACAAACCCGATCCCTAAACCTACCCACACACACACACACACACACACACACACACACACACACACACACACACACACACACTAACCTGATCCCTAAACCTACCCAACACACACACTAACCCAACTCCTAAACCTACCCAACACACACACACACACACACACACTAACCCGACCCCTAAACCTACCCAACACACACACACACACACACACACACTAACCCGACCCCTAAACCTACCCAACACACACACACACACACACACACACACACACACACACACACACACTAACCCGACCCCTAAACCTACCCAACACACACACACACACACACACACACACACACTAACCCGACCCCTAAACCTACCCATCACACACACACACACACAAACCCGATCCCTAAACCTACCCAACACACACACACACACACACACACACACACACACAGGGCCGGCGATTGCTATAGGCGAACTAGGCGATCGCCTAGGGCGGCAAATGTGTTGGGGGCGCCGGCGCCCTCTAGTGTCGCCCCTACTTCCCATTAATCATAGAATTAGAATGACAAGCGAAATAAAACATGTTTATTAAACATGATCATCATAAGGCGCCCCTCAGCCACACGTTTAATTACTTGTCAACCTGATTATTAGATTGAATTGATGATTATTGTCGATCATTTCCTAACGTGGGGTGGGGGGTTACGTTAGGCAAGTGCTCAGCTGCTGGCGCGTTGATCGAAACCCTCTGGTGCACAGGGACGAAACGGAGAAAGCAACAAGATAAAAAGAAAGCCCAGTATAGAGGTAAGTCTTCTCATCTCAGCCATTAAGGCGTCAAACAAAATAAATGTACTTAGTATTGTGCACAGGCATGCTGGCCATCGGGACTACTGGGAGCGAATTCTTTTCCCCCAGGATGGTAGAGATTCCCGGTGGGCCGACGTGCTTTTTGGGCCGATACATAATAATTTTATTATTATTATTTTTTGTCTTAGTGGCCCATAAAACTCGTGCATCGGCCCATTCGTTTTGTTTTGTTTAATTGGCGGCGCTGGGTTACTTCCAAGTAACAAAATTAATTATGAAAGTTTCCTTTATTTTTCAGTGCATTTGTTTTACAATATAGCCTATGGCTATTACTGTCATGGGATTAATATTATAACTATTATTATGTAGTAGTGTAATGTAGACAG